GCTTAAATTGACGCCTAGTTTTACGACCCCACTGGAGCAAGTAAAGGCGACGATGTGCATTGAAGTGGTCTGAAGCGAAAGTATGCCCTTGACTGCGATGAGAAAAAAGTAAACTTCCCACAAGTTAGATACGTGCGCGCGATTGCAGCGTTTAAGTGCAGGCGCAGAATTTTGCTTGCTGGATCTCCTCGAAAAAGCAATGCAAAGAATGATGCTTCCTGCTCAGTCGTCGGCACTCCAGATTTTGAGACATGTTCCCCCTAAAACCTTTTATAACCTCGACAGAACCGACTAATCACAGATGGATGGATTCGTTCTCTTCTTAATTTTGAGACCACATTCTTTTAGCTTGATTACTGAGGCAGTGGGCCTAGCTTCTTTTTTGACTTAGTGGAAAAAAAACGATGGTCATTTCTCTTTTGTTCTTTCCATGTTTTCTCGCGAAATGAAATACCATTAATTGTTCCATAAGACTATCTGCCAAGAAGGAACTGTCAGTTCTCAAATCCCAAAGTGATTGTTAAAGCTAGGTTGACCTTGTTCCCTTTATCGAGAAGAATGTCCAACTCCGATTTTTCATCAAAGATCGCCCAGGAATCGAACATAGGAATCAAGAGCATTTGAATAGGGGACAGTTAGTTGATCATTGGTCTTCCCATGAGGAGGTCAAGCTGTAGAGATAAAAGTGGTGATTCCATCCCTACGCCATCAATTTGACGACACAATGGGCCGCCGAATTTGAATTGGAAATGTGATGTGCAGCGAAATAGCATTTCCCTTAGGTCCCTGAGCGGCATACTGATTGAAAAAAATATATATTCTTACCTCCTCGCTTTTTTACCGATATGTGCATTCCTTAGGGACTTGATGTGTCCTGTAGGCTGCATGGTGCTATTTTTTGCCAAATTAGTTTCAGTCGTTATGTCAGCCACGTTGCAATTGTATGGTAGACCAAATTGCACATTTCTAGTATATGCTATGGTCCATGGTCTAGTTTCTGAACTGCTGGCAAAACAGAAAGGCTTGTGGTGATGTTGCTAGTGGCTTTAAGAAATGCAACTTTATATGTGCTAACGAAACCTTTGTCGATAACTTTTCGAATATTTGTTGTGAGTTCAGCTACAACACCTGGTTTTCCCAACGTTACCTTTGCATTTTTAATAGAAATAAAAAACATATTGGTCTTTAAAATTTTCGTTACGTGCAACGCACACGGTGAATTAGAAAAAACCTTTTCCTAATGACTGTTCTCTCATGTAGAATTTCTGCCACCACATTAGAATCTTGTTCCTACAAACATGGAAAATGTGACGCGTAGAAAATGCATCCATATATGTCCAGAAAAGTATAAATGTATTAAAAGTCATGCTGCATTTTACCAGTGGTTACTATGCACGAATTGCCCTGGACATATTATCTTTTACTCTGTATAAGCTTATTAAGCATCTGTGAAACCATTAATATGAAAGCACAAAATGCGTTCAAGAAATATCAAGACTTGCGCCCTATTCTGGACAAAATGAGTTCCACACGGACATAGTATTTTTGATTAACTTCCAATTGCAGGCCAAATGAAATAAAAACCATGTTATATACTACAGCTGGTTACTCTCTAATAGTTGCCCTTGAAATGAAATGATGTGTTTCACTATTATAATGTATCCTTTACGCTGAATGTGCTCCTTATTACCATTTAAAATTTACAATTTACCAACGCCAAACTTACGATGTTTCATATTTTTAAAAGATCAGGCTCGTAGGCTTAGCAAACCTCTGTGACACCATTAACATGAAGGCACAACTGCATTTTTAGAGAATTTATTCGGCAAAATGCTTTACAGGAATATCGAGACCTTCAGCCTCTAATGAAGGCATTGAAATCATCACGGACACAGTATTTTTGATAAACTTTTAATTGCAGTGTACTTTATCACCCTCTACTTTCCGGCTTGAAACGTACACAGAGTTGCGGGCCGAGCACTTTAACCCATTTTATGCAAATGAGCTCGCGCATAATAACTGCTATTCATTAATTGTTTACTGTCTAAAGGAGTCAAGAGTTTTACGATTTTTCATAATTCTCACTGAGAATAATAATTATTATCGATATTCATGCCCTGCTCTTTGCAGTGTTATTTAAATACTCCAAAGTCGCATAGGAATAATGTAAACATCAGTACAGTTGCAGACGTCCGTCGACATGCAAGAACTTCATTTGCGCAGAATATGGTGATGTCAATGCCTACATTAACAAAATGATTTTTATGATTGTTGTAGGCGCCATTTACATAAGCTTTTTTAAATTTAAAGTTCTGTCTAGGTTTCAATTACAGCCGATCATCACTGTGGATATCTTATAATGCATTCACTGGCTAATATTACCGGAATAATAATGTTTGTCTCAGTCGAAGTCATCAGCCACTCGTAACTTACCCCAGCTAGTGCACCATCATAGCCTTGAACCCACGACCTACTGAGCGAGCGATAGCATCATGATGGAAAGATGAGGGTTAAATCCCTTACCGAACAGTAAGCGTTCATCAATGAATGTACTGGCTGCCATAGCAATCGATCTGCACATATTTTAACTTCGATTACCGGGTTTGTAGGGACTTAGTTACATGCTTTCTTTTCTGGGGAAACAATAGAAACTTTGTGTACGTCTGTCTTTTTATGTGTTTGTGAGATTTTGCATTTCCATTAGGATTTATTTCACATGTGATATCACTGATTTGGAGAAAATAATATTCACTGGAGCCTATCCATTGGCATACATAAATTCAGGCCAAAGTGGGGTGTCTTTGTTGTACATGTATTAATAATATAACGAAACGTAAAATTAAAGCAAAGTTGGTCAGCCAAAGTACGGTTTTGTCGTCGCGAATGTAAAGCCCTGCCTGGAACCTAAATTGAATTACCATTTGTCAAGATGCTTCAACATTGTCCTGGTAAGGTAGTTAGACAAGATTGCGCCGAGTGATCATATAAATAGTATCGTAAGATATTCCTGCATAGACACTTTTGACTTGACTTCAAGCCGCGCGATGCAACTTGTGAATTTCTGCTTACCAGACGATGTAGACTGACTGACTGTTTCGTCGACGATAGAGTCCTCCTCACTGGAATCCAATTTTAGTAAAACCTTCTGTACACTCGTGAAATAGGCAACTGGCGAGGCAGCAACCATACTGAACAGTACGCTTGCCAAGAGAAGAAAAATCGCAAATCCGGAGGATATTCTTTTTCTCAGGGGATAGAGTATACTGCGGTAACGATCAATTGCAATGAGTAGCATGAGAATGCAGGAGACGTAGGTGGGGACACCGAGACTGGCGAACAGGATGCGGCAGGAGATCTCGGACAGGTTCGTCGGTTCAGCGAGCTCGTAGTAGAGCTAAATGCACACGGAAAAATGCACGATACCCGTTAATATAATTAATATATAGTATGCGTATAAGTTTAACATGAGGAAAACTTGACGTCCGATGCTCAAGCACACGTATTTCGCCGAGCATTTTTAGCGGAAGAATAATCGCTCAACTACCGTTTTTAAACGACAATTCTGACTAATTTGTGTTGTGTAATATATTTAATTATTACTAAAAGAGCAATTTAATATTTTAGATTTCTGTTTTGCTAGCGAAGTGCGTATACTTATTAAATAACAGTACTTATTCAGTAAGACAAATGAAATCCGCAATCGTATATGCATTGGCACTAACAAATACTGAAGTTAGTATCACATCATAATAAATCGTAATTCCTCTATGATGGAGGTAATTTAGACATAACTTATTTTTTGTGTCGTTTGTCCTACGTGCAATACTTATTATAAGAAGAAGATTGATCCGTAAGGGAACATTTTGGTTAACACAGTGTGTCTATCTAAACTACAAAATGATAATCCGATTTACTACCCCGTCCGGATAATAATATATAATATACATATAATATATAACATAATAGTATATTTCATGGAAATAGTATATATTTCAGTTTAAGAATGAATAAGAAGCTTCGCGTCCCACGTGTCTGCATGGTAAAAGAAGAAGCCTTGCCAAACACGAGACTAAGCAGTTTGTTGTCCTTAGCTTTCAATTCACCAGAGGAGTTCATTTTAAGATTTTAAAAACTCAGAAAAGTAAACCAGTTTTCCAGAGTTCGGATATTCTTTGGTTTAGTAATCCCATAGGACGCTGCATAATTTAACTATTGCGGATGATCGATTTGTTAAGCTGTTGACAACAAAGCATTTAGCAATAGTAGCTTACGTGGGCCCACTTGTATACCTCTAGTCCCAGCATTTTGTCATGCAAAAACGGTAGTTATGGATTTTTGGGAGGCGGGGAGATAGGATAGGCAAAGAAAGAAATTTTTAGAAGTAAATGTAAAGTGAAAACAATGTAGTCAAATTTGCTTCCCGCAGCCGCTCGGAGTAAGTTGTTCCACAGGTTAATTAAAGTTGTGCGCGGTGCTTCGCGCCGCGGACTATACCAATCTAACACCACAGCGGCAAGTTGAAGTACACGAAATCCTAATCACCATTCCAGTTATTCAGAAAATTAAAGAAAACTGCAATTTGATTATCGGGTTTTCCCGCCATAAGTTAAAGGATAAAACAGATAAGGAAAATCTACAGATATAAATCAAAAACACTCGTAAATACAGTAATATAAAAATGCAGTTAGCATTTATTAAAGTGTTTTCCACTGCGTATCCTGATACCCTACCCAAAAAATCCTATAGCTAGCTTTTTTGTAGAAAAAAACTTGCAGGAATTAGGGATAAATGAGTGAGT